TTAAGTTTTAAAGCCTAACTTGGTTGTGCAGTTGCTGTTTTGCTTTCTACTTTGAAAATTACACTTTTGCCTCAAGACAGCATGGTTGGCATCAGCCCTGATGCCTTTGATCGACGGTGAACACACATGTAACATTTTTCATTCAATCAATACTGGTGGCTGGCGCTGCGGGGACAGAGAATGTTAATAAGACAGCATTGCAGTAAGGGTGGAGGAAGCCCAAGAGGCAGTTATTAGCTAGGGAAAGCTGTCTCTTGAGAGCACTGACCTGTCTGTGGTGACTGTTTCTCTCCTTGAGATTCACCACAGGAGAAGTTGACTTTTGAAACACCACAGAACGCCAGTTGTGCTCGCTCAGTATCTTCAGACAGCGTGCAGATTTTGTGTTGGGATGTTGTCGTGACCTCCTCATTTTACATCTTTCCCCACTCGTTTTTCTCACCCATCAGAAATTGCTTTTAGATGATACATGAGTTTTCTATTACTGCCAGAAGAAATAAACTCAAACTCAGTGACTTAAAAGTAACACACATCTGTTACTTCATCGTTCTTTAGTTTTGGGGTCTTAATTGGGTCTCACTGGGTCAAGAACAAGTGCTGGCAGAGCCATGTCCCTTCAAGGAGGCCCTTAGACAGAGTGTTTCCTTTTCATTAAGAATTGAATTTAATCCCCCTAAGATGATGTGAAATCTTAAATATCTACTTTCTTACCTCAGATATGTTACTTGGAAATAGGATCTTTGCAAATTGTCAAGATCAGATGAGGTTATGAGGATGACCTTCATCTAATATGACTTTGTTATAATAAAAAGAGAAAACTAGGGCACAGATATGCATACTCTAATCCTTCTCCCATAGTTAGATCTCCCTGCAAGCACAGCAAGGAGTGATTCTCCAGTGGTAGAAACTCATGTGGTTAGATGGAGGCCATCTGGCTCACTGAGGATAATCTCTGTCTAATAAGGTCCTCTACTTAATCCCATCAGCAAATTCCCCCTTTCCCCAGTATGCATTCAGAAGTTCTCAGGGTTGGGCAGTAGGAATATTTGGATAGTGAGCATTATTTTCGTACTGCAGAAGGAAATCAGTTGTTAAAGTTTCATAATGAAATATATTAAAATACATTTTTCTTTGGAAGAATTTGATAGAAAGCAGAGTTCTTTAACTCTTGAATGCTTGCATTGTGGGGTTCGGGAGGTGATGCTGACTAGTCCAGGAGACATCAGGCGGCCCCAGTAAGGCAGGTGTCGGCAGAAGCCCCCATGAAGAGCAAATATCTAGACGCAATGGGCATGCAAGGGAAGCTCAAAGAGAAAATGCTGGGTTAGTCCATGTTCTGTCAAGCTCATTGGTAGAGCTCTGTGTCTTTGAAACTGTCACTATCTTCTCCTGTTTGTAGTAGGGGAATATGATCTACCCCTGTGGCATACCTGCTACCATCCAGAGCTATAGCAAGACAGAAAATATAAGAAATAGATATTTCTTGAACTGTGCTTTGCGTGTGAGACATTATATGAGCCACACCTTGTAACCTATAAAGTTCTCTAATAGTGATAGTACTCAGGTCCCCAAGGCAAGTGGGAACATCAAAGGAAAGGAGAGATAGAAAGATGTAAACTTTTCTTTCACAATTTTCTTTAGAATCTGTGATGGCATTGAGACCTATTGAGGAAAAATAGGGAAGAGAGAAAGTGGATAAAACCCTCTGAGCATCTGCTATGGGCCAAATGTTGTAATAATGCCTTGCTCGTATATTCCCATTGGCTCTTTGCAGTAGATATCAGCTGTGCTCATCACTTTTTACAATGGAAGAAGTCAAGTCCTCAAGTGTTCAGTGCTTCAGGAACAGAGCTAGGTCCCTATCTAGCCTATTTGGTTCCTAAATCCTTTGCACCTCACCATATGGATAATGCAGGATAATCTCACCATCTAAAAATTAGAAGCAGCATAGAAGATGGTACCAAAGGACTACCCACTCTTCTAAAAACTGGTGTGACTTCATTACATAGGATTGCAAGAGTATACTTGTAATAATTATTATTTGGTATTGAGTACTTTTAAAGGTAGAATATAATTCCCATATAAATGATATATACTCATATTCAATATTTATGCAAAGTTCATATGAGATTAGACAAAATTTCCCACAATGAAAGGAATAGAACAAGAAACATTTGTCCAAAGCAAAACATATTCTGAGGAGAAAGTGGATATTCTTCCAATGTACAACATTTTTTTCCTGTTCCTTTAATGATTAGAACAAAAACGTTTAAGCTGAGACAAAACCTGAGTATAAGGCAGTGGAAATGTACCTAATTAAAATTCTGTTAGACCAATTCTATTTTCTTGGTCTGATACAAAACAAAGCATTAAATGTTGCAGTGAATCATATGTCTTCCTGCTGGTAGTGTTATATCTTCTCTTAAAAGTAAGGCAGTTCCTTGCTTATGAAGCAATTTGTTTCTGTAATTGATCAACCCCAATCTTAAAAGCGTTGGAATCTGAACCATTTAATAAGCTTTGCAAAGGTTTATTCATCTTAGCTGAGAAGTGTTTGTTCTTTGTTATGCATTTTTAATGAATTAGTCTGGTCTCTAAAAAGTTCTTAATGTCTCCAGGGAATAAAATTTCTTCTGAAGTTCTCTGGTGAGAGTGCATATGTTTTGAATGCCGGCTCAAGCAGTCTCTCTCTCCTCTCTTTATTTCATTGCCTGCCTTGTCCCACCTGCCCTCTGTACCCCCTCCTATCACTCTGTCCACTGAAATCACTTCCATCACAGGAAATTTTACATGGTCTCTATTTAGAGTGGCTTCTGTATTACAACTCCTACAATAACTCATCTCCACGAATCTTTCATTTCCAGCCCACATGCAGTGCACTGACTGCCCATATCACCAAGGTGTTCCAATTTGCCATCTGTTTTTCTCTAACTCGCCCCTCTCACCAGTACCATTGTCTCTCACCTGAATAGTTGCAATTGCCTCCTTTTCTGTCCTCCCTTTTCGCGGTATTCTCTTACATTATCCCCATCCAGTCCCCACTCTTACATTCACAGCAGAAATCTGGCTAACACATTTGACTCTCTCTTTGGTCTCTCTACCACTGACAGGGTATTTTTCCATGACAAAATAATTAGAGAATAACAATAGTTATACTGTGTACCATAATCTTAAAAGAATGGCCAAAATGTTACTCAAATGGACAGAGAACACTCTCTCTTACAAAAAAAAAAAAAGAAAGAAACAGACAATAGCATGAAACTTTCTCTTTAATGAACTAAGAGAAGCTGGTGGTATAAGTGAAACAAATATAATAGTAAAGAGGTGGTGAGGATGTGGGGGAAAAGAACTCTCATGCATGCTTGGTGGGAAAGAAAACTGGAAATCAGTGTGCAGATTTCTTAAAAAACTAAAGTTAGAAATTTCATTTGGCCCAGCTATTCCCTCTGCTAAGAATCTTCCTGACAGAGTAATATTTTTCACATGTGTGGAAACTGAAGAGGTCCTGTGCAGATACCCTGTAGGGTGCACAGAAGTCAGGACAAGGAGTGGCAGGTGGGGGCTGTTGCTGTCCCGCTCTCCGTGACATCTAATGCCTTTCCTCTTTCACGTGAACATGTCCTTTTCTCCTACTTTATGATTTGAGTCCAGGATGTAATTGACAGGAAAGGATTATATGGGTTAAAATAGTTTCAGAATGCGCCTACGAGCACAAGCACACCTTTAGTGAGTGAGGTCCCAACCCCACCTTAGCCGTCTTGCGCTCGCAGCTCCACTGCCTACCACCAGCGGAAGGTGTGATAATTTCCGACGCAGCGCTTGGTGCTGCAGGCTTTGAACGGTGCTGTTCTCGAGCTACCTGCCTGTTCATTTTTCCACTCCTCCTGGGCGCATCAGCTCAGAGGCATCCGTTTCAGGCAGGCTAAGAGACGCTCAGAATGGTGTAAACATTTCAGGGTTTAATTCTCTGCTTGTGCTTTGTCACTTGCTTTTTATACAACCTCAGAAATTTATCATTTTTTGTGTGTTGGGAAAATTCACATTCTCTCTACCAGCTACATTGAAATATATAATAAGTCATTGTCAGCCACAGTTATCTCACTGTGCTGTGAGCATTAGGGATTATTCCTCCCATCCCGTGGAACCCCTGCATCGCACTTACCATCCTTTCTCCATCCTCCAGTCCCTTCCTGCCTTGTGGTAACTATTGTTCTGGTCTGTTTGCAAGGTCAACTTTGGCAGCATGCAGGGTAACCGAGCACAAGCAGTATTTCCCTTTCTGTGTCTCGCTTATTTTATTTAACACAATATCCCCCCAGTCTATCCAGGTTACTGCAAATTACAGAATTTGACTCACTTTTAATGTCTGACTAATACTCCCTTGTGCACTTGTAGCATATCTTCTTCATCCATTCATCCATTGGTGGACAGCTGAGTTGATTCCATATCTTGGTTATCATGAATAGTGTTGCAATAAATATGGGAATACAAATACTGCTGCTAGGCAGTGAAAAGTGAGGGTGATACTACAGTCTCTGAACATTTCTATGAAGCAAATAAAATTAGTATAATACTTACATAGAGAGAAAAGAAATATTCTTTGTGCAGCACCTATTAGATATAAAATTGCAGTGAAATTTATTGAAATTTTAAAAGGCCTCTTAACAATACCTCACTGAGTCTTGAAAGCCACATTCTGAAGTATATTAGTCCATCTGAGCTGCCATGACAAGGCATCATAAACTGAGAGGCTTAAGCTGCAAATAAAATGTTTCTCGTAGCTCTGGAGTTTGGGCAGTGCAAGATCAAGGCACAGCTACATTTGGTGTCGGGTGAGGGCCGCTTTCATGTTCACAGATGGCCGACTTCTGATCAGTGCACCAGTCCCACACGACGGCCCCGCCTTCACCGATCACCGCCCCACCCGAGGCCCTACATTGTGACACCACTGCACGGCGGCTTGGGATAGCCACATGTGACTCCTGCGGGGTGACAGACACGCAGCTCCCGCACAGGTACAGCCATTCTTACTCCCTTCTAGCAAGCGGCACCCATGCTCCGGACGGGCACACCGAGACAGACAGAGGCGTGGTAGCTTGCCCATTGTTCACACAGCCTCCCCGCGGCCAGGCTGCTCTGAAGCCAGCGGTGCCCAGCGCCCATGTGAGTGCCCACTGTCCCGCACTGCCACTTTGTACAGGGTTCGCATGGAGGATGGCGGCGGCATGTCCTGGCTCTGTGTCTCAGTCGCTGCGCAAACATGAGCGAGTCACTTCGATGAGCTGAAGCTGAGGACGTTCCGCGGGGAACAGCAGAAAATGGGAAAACCTGTCTTGGTCATTATCCTCGGTCTCAACTGCACAAACACATATAAAGTGCTCACCTTGCTCACTATACATGCTCAGTGAAAGTTGAACATAATTAGTGAGACTCCCAATAACAAACCCTCCGCGAAAGGTAGCAATCTTTGTTGATTGCTGTTGTTATACTACCTCGCAAATTGGAGAGGTTTTTTTTTTTTTTTTTAAATTACTCTCATTCTTCTGGAGAAATCGGAGAAGGAAGTGGAAATTTTGATGACGGGATAGACTCTCCCACAAGTACACTAGCACTTAATATGATTCTAGCAGTAGTGGTATAAAGAAAGCTTGCAATAAACCTAGGTATGTGTACAAATAATATGTACTAATGTGTATCTTGAGTTCTAGCCTTACTCAGAATGATTCTTTAAAATTTTATGTTAGCATATACAAGCACAAATATGGATATGAAGCACTGAAAAATATTCAGACTCTATGGGGAGTAAAAATAATCTCTCCATGTCCTCTTCTTCCATTTCTTCCCCTAGTGATAAACAATTCATCATAAAGAACACATTAAGGATGAGTGGAGGAAAATGGAATCCTGTTCTTTAGGGCCTTAAAAATTTTGGGAGGTAACTTTAAAAATGATTGCCGAAGTAAGCCAGTTAATATTCAGATACAGTGACATGATGTCTCTTGATAAGTTAAAGAAAAATAGCAAAAAGTACTTAAAATTTCTTTTTTCTTGAGGGTGCACAAAAGCATTACCTTTTAGTGTCTCCTTAAAGCGAAGCTACAAGCATGCTGGGCTGCCAGTCCGGTTCAAGCTTAATCATTACGGTTTCAAACGCAGTCCCATTCCAAGTTCAAGTTATGCCCACTGACTAGAGCAAAATTCTCTGGATAAAATCAGAGATACTTCAGCTGGGATCCAGTGTTGATGCTGTCCTTATCTTCCGCAATGCTGGGTGGAAGGATGACACCCAGACATCAAAGGCAGAGTAGGTGTGAGAGGTGCCCTAGAAGTGGAGTGGTGCATTCACAGCAGGAAGGAATGTTTCGGCCCACCTGCCTTGGCCTTCTTCCTTTCTCTAGTGAGAAGGGCGTCTTTGTAATATAGGATTTGGAAGCAGCGACTTTGTTGAGAAATTCTGTGCTGAAGTTATGTGGTGAGAGGCAGACAACATCATCAGGTAAAAGGTTTGTTTGTATTTTAGATCTATTTCTGAAGAACATACAAGGCCTGCTAAGAATTTAGAACTGCCCTTTCTTCATCAGTCCAGTGCTACCGTCAACATGACTTTGAGGACTCTCAGAGCTCTACTGGCGTGGAGGTGAGACCTTGGATAAAGACTCTGTAGAGTAAAAGAGTTTAAAGGGGAGGGGAGGAGCGGAGAAAAGGAAGACAGAGAAACAAGGGACCCCCACTGTAGAAAGATGAAAATAACCAGTGGGTACTTACTGCTTATGCTGTCACGTCTTTAGTACTGACCATCTGCCTTCCTTAGGGGAGCCTGGAGCTTGAGTATGTCCTGAGCAATGGGCACCTGTGAGACCAGCCTTCCAAAACCCTTGCAAGTCTTCCAGAGTGTGCATGTAATTTCAGTATTCCGGGAGGCTGAGGCAGAAGTGTCATAAATTTGAAGCTAACCTGAGACACTCAGTAGTTTAGTGACCCTGTCTCAAAAGTAAAGAAGGATAGGGCTGGGGATATAGCTCAGCGGCACAAGTGCTGCCTGGCCCGCGCAAGGTCCTGAGTTTGATTCCAGGTACCAAAAAAAAAAAAGTAGAGAAAGGTAGAAATGGAGTTCAATATGAGGGCCCTGGGTTCAATCCCTACCACCACCACCACAAAACAGTTCCCCCCAAAACCCTAGGCTCCGAGTCTCCAGTCTTTCCTGGCCACAGCCATTCCCACATGCTGTTACATCTCATTTCTGGGGGGTTGGATGCGTCCGTGTGCCTCTCTGGGAGAGGGCCCTGACCGCTAGCATTGGGCTTTCCTGAACTGCCCCACCGCGCTTTCACTCCGACGATTTTGTGTCCCCCCACTGTAACATATCTTAGCCACGGGCACAGCTCTATGCCTACAGGGGCTTCTAGTGAACCCTGGAGCCCGGAGGTGGTCTCAGGGGCCTTTTGCCTCCTGAGGAGGTGCACCTTCACCTCAGGCAAGAGTACCTTTGGAATTACATGTAAAAGAATCACGCTTTTTTCGCAAGCAGAAACTTCTGCCCTGTCCACTTCCCTGCCTAAGAGTGTGGCTCCACTCTCACAGCGCCTGGCATGGGCTGTGCCACAGGGCTGTTTAGACAGCTGGTGCTGCTGCTGTGGACGAGCCACAGCTGCCCGCTGTTCCCTACGGGAGGACGCTTCTACCAAACTGGCTCCATGTGAGCTTTGTCTCTAATTTAAATGAGGCTCCCGAGAACTTGTGTCAGCTACATGTCAGAAGAGAGCTGGGATCTTTTCTGTCCACCTTTACCCCACCTAACTAGCTCAGTTTAGGTACCTGCTTCAGGACGGTCTCCAGTACCCTCAAACTAGCTTATTTCCCTATTAGTAGTACTACTTCACCTCCTGGTGGTTATGCCTTAACAAACACCGCACATCGCTAACCTCGCTTAATCAATGTCTTCCTCTCCTTTAAAGCAAGAAGGGCCATGGCTAGGTTGTTCGCCCTTAAGATGGAGTTCTTGCCAAGTGGATATTAGGAACTGAATTCATACTTTTGGAAGTAAATGACTGGATAATGCCCTTTCTTAGAGACCACTCTGGAGGAAATCATTACAAGATCTTTTTTTGTCAGAGATACAAATGTCAAGGTAGATTCACTTTTGCTGTGAATGTCCTGCATCTTTGTATACTGGTAAACGGACAGTTTTTAAAAATGTGTGACTAGAACTGTGGATTTTTCATACAAAAAAGTAAGCTGGAGTGTAGCTCCACAGAACTTATTGTGAGAATATGAAATATTTTAGTAGATGCTCAATGTAAATCAACATTGGGGATTTTCAGTTTTGTGAAGTAGACCTAATAATTTTTAAAATATGGAAAAGAAAGAACACGTTGGAGTATATAGGTTTCAAAGAGACAGATTATCAGTTTTCAGTAAATTTCAATTCAAAAACTAGATTATCTGGGAATTTTTCATTTACTTATGGCTACAATAGAGCACAAATAACTATGTCCAGTGGGTAAGGCTGAATCCTGAAATCAGTCATGAAAAATGTATCTAAGTCTTTTCTGAATAAGTGTAGGTGTGATGTGGCCTGCAGCGTATCTTGGAGGCAGGCAGGCAGAACGGGGTCATCAAAGCCAGGACCTCATCTGCTCTCATCAGGATGGGGTGTGCCACCCACCACAGGGAAATCCAGAGCTGTAGATTTTAACTGATCTCTCCACGGACTCGTCCAGCCGTGATGAGTAATATTTTTCTGTTACAAAGCTTTAACCTGTAATTGTTTTACCCTTGTGGAATTATTTTTATTCCCTCTTCTAGTTTCATTTCTTCATTCAACAACCTTTACTTGGTTTCCTGCTATGACCAAGAGACACAGCAATAGACAGGACAGGTACTCTCTGAAAATAATGTGATTTATTCCCTCATACAAAAGACAGAATTAAGTAAGTGGAGTCTAAAAGGATGACTGTACAAAGAAAACCACATAGCGTGATATGGCAAAAATGACTTCTAAGAGTAAAGTTGTTAGTGGCTGGGGATGTAGCTCAGTGGTAGAGCGCTTGACTACATAGCACCAAAAAAAAAAAAAAAAAAAAAATTACAGATTCATAACATCATTTCACACTGTCTGTCAAGAATTACAGGAAAAAAGCTGTCTGTCTTACATTGCTGTATCCATTTCTTATGAACATAATATTTCTAATAATAATTTGTGGTTTTTACAGTAATAGAGAACAGCAAATTATAATTCAACTACAGGCAAAATTAAGTTAACTCATTCTGTGATTGTTAATCCTTTTAAACAGTTATTTAAATATTAATTGATGGTGAGGGATCAGAATACCAAGTCATTTTGCCAGACTCCAGGGAGAATAACCAGTAACTTAATAGCAATTTACTCTCTAATGTAATTAAGTTTGATTTTTCTATTCCAGAGCTGTAGTCAAATAATGCCTTCCTTTGCTACATTTAATGTTATGTGTCTGAGAAATCCTGTTTATCATTACTGAGTTATTATTTCATTAACTTTATTGGCATAACATTTCCGTAAAAACGAACCCAATCAGTTATAATTACGTACGATCTTTTTTTCTTAGACTTTCAAACTCTTAACTTACATCAAATTATTTAGTTAACATGTCAACAATAATTCCACTGAAATACTAATTTTCTTGAAAACGGGAACATATTGTCTGTCCTAATTTATTTTTTCTCAATGACATAATTTTTTCAAGAGCGGCTCCAGGACTTGAAGTTTCTATTATTTTTCAGTGTTCTGCGGCCGATGCCGGACAGAAGCAGTAGGCGTCACCTTTACTTCTGTCCTATGTCGGCGTGTTCCTCATTTCGTCCCAGCGGACTTCTGTCCATGTAGCTGGACTCACTAGAAATATTTATGTTCAAAATTATGTTTATCATTTCTAATATTTTACGAGCTTTATAACTTCTAACGATACTACTTTTGATCAAATCTGTCCTAACTCCAAAGCATTCGGAAGCCTAGGAATATGTTTTGGAAACATTTGACCCCATTTCTCAGGGTAAGAAAAGAATTCATCTTCCAGGTGGAAAGACTGCATTGTCCTTGACTGTCCTCCTCTACCGCGCTGTGCAGGGCGCTGTGCTTCTCCCTTACAGCTACTTTCACTTCTGTCTTCCTGTAGCGTTTCCACTGCGTCCCTTCACCTGTCGGCGTCTCACCGAGTTTACATGTTGCTTCCCAGCCCTTCTCCCTGCCTTTTGCCCTCTGAACAACAGGAAGGAAAGGAAAGTAAGGTATGCAGGGAAAGGAGCCAGAGAGTGCGGTGCTTCATTAAACGAAAAGAGTTACTTTGAGAATTTCGGCAGAGTCAGCCTTTGAACCTCAATAAAACAGTAGACATTTTCTTCACTTGTTAGTAAGTGTGTGACTGACAAAGTGGCCATAGGCTTTGCAGTCCTTGGTGTCTGTCATCCTTACTCTAGATTGCAGTGTTCCAGTAGAAATGAAGACAGTTAGACCTGCAGCACAAGAAGATGCTGCCCAAACAACCGTGCTGATACCACTGCAGACAGGACACAGAAACGCCTCAGAGATCTTCGCAAATGCAGGAGGAGAGCGGTGCACTGTCAGCCCCAACTCAAGTTCAGACAAACTCAACATTCTCATTAGAACGCCTTCTACGTCTTTATAATATATGGTGCTTCCAAGGATAGAGAGAACTCTGCCTGCAGTTAATTCTCAAACACCCAGGGACTGATGATAGCGTTTGTGAATTATTCCGGCTGATTTCTCCACCTGCTTTGTCCATGACACTATTTTCTATACACATTTCACAAAAAGAGAGCAAACAGGGGAATGAGCAAATAAACTCTGAATGACTTAATGAGACCGTGCATGGAAATATATTGTTAAATGAGTATTCGGAATAATATTCTGTTTCAATGACTCGTACATTATTCATATTGTCCAATATTACTGATAATTAAGCACTGGTTCAAAGCAATTACTCACAGAATAGCACCAAAACAGGGACTCAGCCTTTATCTTTGGCTGGCTGTGCAGTCTGCACAACTCATTTTCCATCCACCATTAGTCTTTGGCCTTGAGAGGAAAGTCTCTCTCTTTAATGCAGACTCTGTCCTGTGAATTTAAATATGGATTTCAGAGTCTACAACAGGTTAAAATGGAGCTTGGGTAATGCAACTCTATAGATTTCTCTGGAATGTCAACAGGGGAGGTATAAATTTAACACACAGAAATAGGCAATGATACATTTTCAATAAAAGAAAGGGGGACTCTCAATTTCATGCCGTTAAACGACACATGAATGGGTGAGGGAACTTTCCTTTTACAGACCACCTCTGCTCAAGTTGCTGCATGGTCTTCGTTCTGTGTTAAGGAAACCTGTTTATACCCTTTGCCATTGAGGTTGGGGCAGACAACACGGGGTGGTTAAGACAGGCTGCACAGGGTCTGAAGGCAGAGGCAGGCATAATTCCTGCTGGGCAGTCAGTAGGCAAGGTAGAGACCCTACAGGCAGTATGTCCTCTCCAGGAGGAAATGAAGTGAGTTCCTAAGGGAACTCTGTGGTACAGGCAATGTGTGGGACCCACTGCATGGGCTCTGTTATGAACTGTTTGTGTCCCCCTAAAATTCATGTTTAAGCCCCAGTGTAACTACTTGTAGAATTAGGTTTATAAAGAGATAATTACGGTAATAAGTGTGAGGCCTTATACCTCTCTGCTTGACCTGCTATAATAGTATACCACAGACTGGTGGCTTAAACAATGGAATTTTATCTGTCACAATTTTGGAGACTGCAAAGTTTAAAATCATGGTGCTGAGTGACTTAATTTCTAGTGAGAGCTCCTTACTCAATTCGAAGATGACTACCTTTTGGCTATTTTCTCACATTATTGAAAAGAGAGAGCTCTGACATCTCTTCTTTTTGTAGGAGTAGCAGCCTAATTAGATGAGGACCCAGTGCTCATGGCCTCCTTTACCCTTACTTACCTCTTCAGAAACTCTATCTCCAAATCCACTTACCTTGAAGGGTAGGGGCTCAACATGGGAACTTGGCAGAGGCCGGGTTAGCTCATGCCAGAGTCTGACATGGTGGGATTGGGGTACTTACGGGAAGAGGCACTCAGTAGCACTTCCTCTCCTTCCCTCTCCATGTGTGTGTTCTGAAGAAACGACTTAGAAAAACATAGTGAAAAGCCAAGAAAAAAAAACGCCCTCTCCAGGAAATTGGCCAGAACTTTGCTTTTGAACTCTCAGCTTTCAAAACTATAAGAAAGTAATCGAAGAATTATTTTCTTATTCCCTATAATGGTTTGAGCAACCTTCCATTCTTACATCTGGTAATCTGAGCAATGTATTTGAGAACAGCGGTATGTAATATAACTACCACTGTTGATTCGTATTATTTTGTCTTGAGACTCTGTATCACTTTGAACGTGCTTGCTTTGATTTATGTTTGTGATACTGGTACGCTGCTACTGCTCTATTTCTTTGTTTCTCATTTGCTACTCTCTTTAAAATAAAAATAAATAAATAAAATGATAAAACAACTAAACAATTTTTTAAAAAGTAAAGTACTCTTATTTAGGCCACCCAGTCAGCGGTACTTTCATGGCAGCTCAGGCTGACTCTCCTAGGGACCCAGACGGTCTGGGGCTGCAGTAAAAGTAAGATTTGACTTCACTAAGAGAAAAATGTTTTCACCTGTGATAAAGCAAGCAAACAAACAGCTCTACTAGTGGACACGGAGGCAGGGGTGTCCCATGGCCTGTCCTGCTTCAGGCCTGCATGACCTGGGCATGTACTGTACCTGCTGGGCCAGCCACAGCCACGTTTCTACCCCACCCCTGGAGCAGCTACGGTGATATTTGGGTGTACCTCCGGTCTGAGGAGGAGTATCAGGGTTCCCAACGAGCTGTGGGACCTCCCTGCATTTGGTGGCCCTCACTGGACTCTCCAATAGCCTCACATCCCAGCCCTGTCCTTTCTCCTGTTTGCTCCACCTCTAGTCCCTGAAGTCTTCAACCACATGGGAGTGGGCACAGAAAGCCTCTTCCTGGCAGCTAAGGGCGACAAGACAAGGGCTATTGTGCCCCATTCTGTTGGTCTCCTTGTGGAGAGATGTGTCTGAGCAGAGCTCAGCTGAGGGCTGAAGCCAGGGCAGTTGCTGCGGGGTACCCTGGGATCTGCTCGGGTAGGGTGGGGATCCTTAAAGATCTGAGTGAGGCGTGGTGGGCTCTGGCTGTGAGGGCTGAGGCCTGGGAGCCTGCACCAGTATGGGGAAGCCAAGGGCCTGGCTGCAGTGGGCAGCTGCCCACCCATTCCCTGCACAGTATTTATTGCTAAGTTATTGTCCAGGTGGGGTAACACTTGGTCTGCCCCAAGCCAGATATTTTTGCTGGATATAGTGTATGTTTGTGATATATAAGGTTTTACTTATTTTGTATATAATCAATAAATGCCTTTTAAGCAGAAAGACAAAACAATACAAAGCAAAGCAAAACTCTATCATCCCTTTTAATCAGCATGGGGAAGTTTTCAGTTTTTTATTGAAATACTATCTAGAACTTTGATGCAAAGACTGGGTAGATTCAGTAGAGTTGTCTCAGGCAATTGGAGGAGGAGGATGAGTGGCTAATTTGAAATTCCATGTGCCCAGGACTCAGAAGCATCACAAACGAGGTCCACAAGAAGCAGGGCAGGCACTTCTGTTCATCACCTGTGATTCAGCTTCACCCTGAGCAGGAATAACGCAGTCCTCAGAGTCTATCCACTGCCTTCCTCTGTAGTTCATGGTTTCTGCTTCCTATGAAGTTCAGGTACCGCATCACAATTTCCCCACTCCCGGTCAGTATCATGATCCTTCAGCTTCAACAATCAGTGCTAGCACTGGGGATTTAGCTCAGAGGCACAGCGCCTGCCTAGCAAGCATGAGGTTGTGAGTTCAATTCCCGGTACTGGAAAAAAAAAAATCAGTGCTAATTTCTTGATTGCTCTGTATTTTTTCTCTCTGTTTTGCATTGCTGTCAGTGAAAATCTCTGATTGGATTTGCTTATTATTGTGTGGCAGATCACATTGTGTTTACCGTCTGTGTTACATACACAGCCAATCCTGGTTAGAGGTTCATTTCTGCAGCATTCAGCATGACTCTTAGAAGTGAGGGTCCCACAGCATTTACAGGCTTTTTCTTTAGGAGGGGCTGCAAAGGATGGTTTCACTTAGAACATAGTGCAGTCTGAAAAATATATGGTTCACCTCCTTTGATAAGGGACATGGGGACAGAAACATAAGGTTTCTTTCTTCCGGGTCTTAGCTGAAGACACCAAAAGTTCTAAAAAGAAACGTGTAAACTTGCTTATTCACATACAAACGTGTCTTTCCAAAACTCAGCATCTGGATCTGTTTCAAGGTCAAACTCTTTTAGCTTGAAAGAAGTTTTAGGTGTTGTTCCTTATAATAGGTATATGTGTATGCTCTTATACATACTTATTAAATATATATTATATAATATAAATTAGAGGAGAGAAAGAGTGGAAGGAGGGAAGGTGGGAGAGACAGAAAGAGAGACAGAGATAGAAAGAGAGAGAGAACACGGGTATCTGTGCTCTTGCTTAAATTACACTCTATTTTTTCCCTCTCTAAGAAAGAATTGCTAAGACGCTGTAGCAGTTTTCTTCCTTGTCACATGCATAATATAAAGTGAGTACAGTATATGGTTAGCAACCAATCATAGTAAAACTTAAAGCCTGGTTTATTTTTCATTTTTATTGATATTCATCCATTCATTCATTCATTCATTCATTATCTTATTTTGCAACAGTGAGGACCAAATTCAGAGCCTTGCACTGAGCTGAACTCCAGTCCCTTTGATTTTTTAATTTGAGACCATAAAATGTGAAAGAAAGCCTACAGAATAAATACGTTGCATATAGTAAGTCTTTTTGTTTTAGAATTGCCTTTCTGCATAGCTAGAAGTCAAAGACAGCCAATCCCATATAGGCTCAAAAACACGAAGTCTTGGGCTGATTTTCCCAGTAACTTCTCCTGTGTCCGTGGTCACTTATTGGCCACAGCTCAAATCTATAATGATAGGGTTAAATCCAGCTGGGTCATCGGCCCTCTTTCATGCCAAAAACAAAACAGTGAGGGCAAAGGGACTAACTGCAAAAGTTTTCACCACCTGTCTTTTGCAGTTCAATTCATTTATGCTTAAGTCACAAAGATGGGGGAGACTCAGGTCTCAGAATGTGTTAGTTTTCCATCACTGTAAGACCTGAGACAATCAGCTTGTAAAGACGAAAGGTTTATGCGGGCTCACAGTGTTAGCGGCGGCAGACTATGATCAAGCAGGTCCACTGCCTTGCAGCCTTTGGTGTGTGTGCCGGGAGACATCAGCAGGGAGAGCAAGGTGGACCAGAGCCAACCACCTCCTGGCTAGGAAAGAAAAAGAGAGCGAGGAGTGGCTCTGGAATCCACATCAGAGCTGTGGCCCCAGGGACCCGAAGACCCCCCACTAGGCCCCGGCTCTTGAAGGTCTTAGCACCTCCCGGTGGCGCCACCCTCTAACAGACGCTCTTTGCTGGGACATTCAAGACACAAAACACGGTACAAAAGTCTAGGAATCGTCTACTGCATACAATTTTTGATAATCACGGCTGCCTTTTGATAAGTGAAAATGGCTATGTTTCAATCTACATCCGTAGTATTCCATTTGTATGGTATTCTGAGAAAGGCATGAACTTGAGGAAGTAGAATCAATATTTCCCAGGAAGGAGGGATTGAAAGATGGATTAACTGCATGCCCGCAGCACAACAGGACGGTGGGGAGTGACGA